AGCGTGACTCATCCGATCCAGGCACTTGACGAAGCTGTTAATGCATCGTCCATTAACCAGGAAACAAGGTCGTTAAACAAAATCGCATCGTTATTTTTTATTTTATTTTTATTTTTTTATTTTTTATTTTTATTATTATTATTATTTTTTTTTTTTTTTTTTTGTACCCTTGAAATGTTCTATTATCTTCTAGAAAAAAAGGTCTCTTGTGTCGGTATTTTTTTTTTTCTCTCTCTTTTTTCTGTTTTGTGAATCGGTTGTAATCCGAATTGTGATGCTTAACCGGGAATGGATTCGGTGATTGGTTTCTGGCCGGTGGAGCGGGAATTTTGTCATTGCGGATTTATCGGGTTGGACTTTTGAATAATTCCTTTGTTCAATTGAACGTTCGATGTTATTTTGTTGGGTTTGTAGTTAATTACTATGAATAGTTTTTGTACACGCACACATACACGCACGCACACACAGAAATATATATTAGATATATTTTTGCGCGCGCGCGTGTGTGTGTGTGTGTGTCTATGTCTCTGTGTGTGTCTATGTCTCTGTGTGTGTGAATGGATATATATATATGTGTGTGTGTGTGTGTCTATGTCTATGTGTGTGAATGGATATATATGTGTGTGTGTGTGTCTATGTCTATGTGTGTGTGAATGGATATATATGTGTGTGTGTGTGTTTTGTGTGTGTATGTTTTAGATAAAATGCTATCAGTCAACCCTAAATCCAAGTACATTTCCACGTGGCCTTCGGAGGATTTTTTGTTCCCAGTCTGACTCCCGAGTGAGGATGAAAGGAAAACGTATTTCTTTTCGGTAATTCTCCCTCACGAGCGCGCTTATGGCTTGCTGTTTTCGCCGTGGAAGAAATTATACGAAAATTGAAGGGTTTCTTTCCGGGTTTTTTTCTTTTTCTTTCCCTTCCCCGAGTATGTATCTGTATAGAGTGTGTAACTACCTCGTTTGTAATTGGGTAATTGGAGTCGCGCCCACCTTGTGATTATGGGGGCGATGCGGCGTTAATGGGGGTGGTGGCGAGTGCGTTTGTGTGGCGGAGTGCGGGTAGGGGTGTATTGCTGGCTTGTGCGTGGGTGTGTACGTCACGTGTAATGTGAGGGTAAGGGGGGACTTTTGGAGAGATCTGCGCGGGTTTGGGCGTGTGTGTGTTTTTGTTTTTGTTGTTGTTTTGAGGTGGTGGGTGTACAATTTATATACAAGTGTGGGGGGGGAGAGGGGAGGGGGGGGTATGTCACGCCAATGGAGAGGCCGCTATGAATATGTAATGCTTTGCCGCAGTAGCTCGAACTCTCGTTTTTTTGTGGTGTTTTTTTTTCCTCTCTGCCTCACACACTCTGCAGAGACCTCGTGGGCGCGAGTGTGTGCTCATCGAGGCTGCGCGCGCGTCCAATAGGATGAAAAATGTCGTTTGCGTTTTATCTCGCGTTGTTTCACAATTTCCTCTTTCCCCGCTTCTGAGCTTGCGCCATATTCACCGTCCTATCTACCGTCCTATCTTATCTCTCTCCTCTCTTCGTCCGGAGTTCTCGTCTTTTCAGGAGAATCGGTATGGAAAAAAAATAATAAATGAGTTCGGGGTAGTGGCGTGTCAGTGGCGTTCTCTTTTGCTCTCGACTTGAGGGAGTTTTGTAGCGCCCTGGGGGTTGGGGTAGGGGGCAGGGGGGGTATGTGGGGAGGTTGGGGTAGGGGCAGGGGGTATTGTGGCCGGAGGGGTGGGGAGGTTGGGTAGGGGGCAGGGGGTATTGTGGCGGGAGGGGGAGGGAGGTTGGGTAGGGGTAGAGGGGGGTATTGTGGCCGGAGGGGAGGGGGAGGTTGGGTAGGGGCAGGGGGGTATTGTGGCCGGAGGGGGGGGGAGGTTGGGGTAGGGGTCGAGGGGGGTATTGTGGCCGGAGGGGGGGAAGTTGGGAGGGGCAGGGGGGTATTGTGGCCGGAGGGGAGGGAGGTTGGGTAGGGGCAGGGGGGTATTGTGGCCGGAGGGAGAGGGGGTTGGGGTAGGGGTAGGCGGAGGGAGGATTGGGTATCCGAGAGGGGAGGGAGGTTGGTAGGGTCAGAGGGGGGTGGCCGGAGGGGAGGAGGGGGTGGCTCCTAGGGTAAACAACGGACTCTGTCGCTGATTAATTTTTTTCCCCCTTTAAAGGTAAATGAGATGAATGAGCAATGTCGTCTCTCACTTCTACAAGTCTCCAGTTTTTACTTTTTTTTGTCCACTATCCCGTTAAGTTGACGGTGGATAGTAGAAGAGAGGGAGTAGGGATAGACCGCATGGCCCAGTGGATAGAACAAAGGGGCAGAGTTGAATCTGAGGGGAGGGGAGAGAACCGAAGCTAGAATGGATAGAACAAGTGGATAAAAACAAAAAGATTGATTTTGAGCCGGAGAAAGAGAGAGAGAGAGAGAGAAGAGAGAGAGAAGAGAGAGAGAGAGAGAGAAAGAGAGAGAGAGAGAGAGAGAAAGAGAGAGAGAAAGAGGAAAGAGAAAGAGAAAGAGAGGAGAAGAGCAAAGAGAAAGAGAAAGAGAAGAAAGAGAAGAGAAAGAGAAAGAGAAAGAGAAAAGAGAAAGAGAGAGAAAAGAGAGAAAGAGAAAGAGAAGAGAAAGAGAAAGAGAAAGAGAGAGAGAGAGAGAGAGAGAGAGAGAGAGAGTTGATAGACTAGAGCGTGGAGGGAATTGATCCTGGTGGCGAGGGCGGGAGAGGCTTCGGCAAAAGCTCTTGGGAAACCCGAGTGGAGGTTTCCCGGAGGCTTCACTGGCGGCACCGAAACCCCCGCAGGCACTCAGGGTCAGGGTGTCACGACCTCACTCCCTGCCTTTCACTCGTGTCTCTCCTCTCTTCTTCTCTTCTCTCCTCTCTTCTTTTCTTCTCTCTTCTCTTCTTCTCTTCTCTCCTCTCTTCTCTCTTCTCTCTCTCTTCTCTCTTCTCTCTCTTCTTCTCTTCTCTCTTCTCTCCTCTCATTCTGCTGTTTTTCCTTTGTTTTCCTGGCATTGTCTGTAGTTTTTTATTTTGTATGTATTTTTCTTTTTTTTCTCTCTTCTCTCAAATCAAGTCTTTTCGTTTTTTTCTTGTCTGTCAATTTTTTCTTGTTTTATTCTCTTCTTTTCTGTTTTTTTAAATTTTGTTCCTTTCTTTTCTCCGTTATCTTCTTTTGTTCTCTTATCCTCTCTTTATTTTTATTTTTCTCTGTCTCTATATTTTATCTGACCCATTTCTCTATTATTTCTCTGTATGTACAATACGTATCTAAATCGTTTTCCTTTTACTTCTTTTACTATTTATTTATTTTCCGTAACTTTCTTCTCGCTTCCTCTTCTGCCAAGTTTCTCCCTTTTTTTCCTCCTCCTAATTTCTTTTCTTCTGTCGTTCGCAAGGGAATTGCCAAATACGCAAAAGAGGAAAATATGTTTTTTTGTGCGTTTTTGCAATTTGCCAAAACAAACTCATCAAGTTATTTTATGTATTCAGTACATGTACGTACAATACGTGTGTTTATATATGGGCTATATTTGCGTGTGTGTATTTGAGTGTTTGTGTATGTGTGTGTGTTTATTTTTGAGTTTAAGCATCTGCGTGTATATTTGAGTGTATGTATCTGTGTGTATATTTGTGTTTGTATCTGTGTGTATATTTGAGTGTATGTATCTCTGTGTGTATTTGAGTGTATGTAGCTGTGTGTATATTTGAGTGTTTGTATATGTGTGTATATTTGAGTGTATGTATCTCTGTGTGTATTTGAGTGTATGTATCTGTGTGTATATTTGTGTGTATGTATCTGTGTGTATATTTGCATGTTTGTATCTGTGTGTATATTTGAGTGTATGTATCTGTGTACCCATGTACTCCATGTAGGTAAGGGTGTGCGAGTGTATACGTGTATGTATATGCATTCTACGCATCACACTGCCATGTATAGACATACACGCTGCATGACGTTGAACCAGGACATCCGGTGAGATTCGGAATGGGAGGAAACACTTTTTTTGTTTTGTTGTCAAATGAATCCATGTCACGGTATTTGATTGCGTGTAATTGCTGCACTTTACATTTCTTTGTTGACCTTATAATCTGGAATCGTGTCATTAACGAGGTTTTTCTTTTTCGTTTCAGGTAATGCCGAAGGATTGGCGAGGGTGCTGAGAGAGTTGTAGGTGAAGTACACTAGTATAACGAACTTTGGCTTTCTGTTATAATGAAAAGTAATGTATAGAAGTCTGGCTTTTTTAGTATTAATGAAAAAGTAGTGTTTTGTTGTATTAAGGTTGTTTTTAGTTGATCTCGTATTCATTCTGTGTCTCAGAGCCAGCTGACTTAATATGAGAAACACGGAAAATATTGGTATTCCGTCGTTATGTAATATTTTTTTCCCTAAATTTTCAGACGACTTGATTTGGTGTTTTTTTGTGGTGTCGAAATATTGATGTCACGTGACCTAGGTCGTTTGTTTATTTGTTTCTTTTCCATGAATGTTTTTGGAATTTTTTTGTTGTTTTTTGTGCTATCTCTGTTGTCAACGTATTGTTTGCCCTGTTTGTTCTATGTACTTCCCTTTCTCGGTGCATTTTTGTTCTCTTTTGTCCGTGGTGTATACTCCTGTAGGGATGGGGCCACGCTAGGGCACGAAGGGGTTTTAAACTGCGTGATGCGGGGGAGCGGGTCTCCTGGAGGAGGGACGGCGTCATCTCCCGAGCTCCGGCATCCCCGGCGAAGGATCTGAGGGGCTGCGCTAAGCCTCTGGGCGCTACTCGTCATGGAAGGGAAGAAGGGAAAGCGGAGGAGACGAAGAAAGTGACGAGGAGAAGGGGGAAAGAAGGAGAGGGGAATATAATGTCGCGCAGGAGCCTAACGCCCTCCGGTCTACCTCGTTTCCATACGGGATGAGCTTTAATGTCGCTCGGGCGTGGGGCGAGGGGAAGGGGAGGGAGGGAGGGGAGGGGAGGAGTGGGTAAGGATATGGGTAGGGAGAGGGAGCGGGGAAGGGCGACGGGTGACGAGGCTCGCGGCGATTATCACTCGCAGTCGCGGTGCCAAGACCTAGCGTGGCCCTCGAGACGTCTGCGGGGAGTGAGGGCGATCCCGGGAGGGTTCCTGCGGCCGCGGAGCAGACCGAGTGGCTGGTGGTAGTGCCGTCAATGGTCTTGTTGGTGCTGTGGGGTGGAATAAGGCGCTCGTGCTTGGGGATCTGTATGCCGTCGCCTGCAGATACAGGTAGATAGATAGACCCGGAGAAAGGGTTGCAGCAGAAGAAGAGGAAGATGATTGATCGGAAATTTAGTCGTTTTGTGTCTGTGCTGAGGGAAGAGCGTCGCAGATGCAGCGTCTGCTGTGCGGTTCAGTGAATAAGAAGCCGTTTGGAGTTCCTAGGCCTCTTCGCCCGGCTGTTGGATGCTGCAGGACGCCGCCCCTCGAGCCTCCTTGATCCTTCCGTTCTCACCAGGACCGCAACTCGCTCTCCCGCAGACACGATGGCCTCGACGTGCGCACAGGAGGGCGGCCACGTGGAGGACAGGGCGCTCGTCGAGAGCTCGGGCTTGACCACGCTGAAGGAGGCGATGCTGAGCACGCTGATCGAGGCCCTGGGCGAGGCGGAGGAGGACGCCCGAGAGGGAGGGGGAGGAGGGACGAAGGAGGGGCGGGAGGAGAAGAGCAGAGGAGGGGAGGTCCCCGACGGAGGCGATGGCGAAGGGCACAGCGACGACGACGCCTCGGCCTGCAACGACGCGTTCGACGAGCCGTGGGAGAGGGAGACGGTGATGCGAGTCATCTCCCAGCTGACCGAGTCCTCCCCGCCGCACTCGCCCGTCGCCGTCGCCGTCGCCGTCCCCTTCGGCGCCGGTAGGTCCGAGTCCCGAACGTCCTCGTGGAGAGAAGAGCTTGAGCTTGCTTTCGAAATGACGCTGCTTTCTGGGCCCCGGAGGACGCTTGTGGGGAGCAGAAAGAGTCACCCCACACAGCTGATTATGCCGTTTGGGAGTCCGTGCATTCGCTGCCGGTCGATATGGTTGAAAAAAAACTTTTTTTTTCTTTAGTTATTAAAATTGCTTTAGCCGTAGCCCGAAAATTCATCGGCAGGCGTTCGCATGTGGTAAGTGAAGCGGCCAATGTTTCTGCGCCTTCCTGTGCGAAGAATTGCTTCCTGATTTCCCGCGATGCGTTTATTTTCGCTTTTTAAGCAGAATCTTGAGATATCGCGATATTGCTCTTATTTTTTAAGGATCTTAGTTTTATGGTAGCACACACACACACACACACACACACACACACACACACACACACACACACACACACACACACACACACACACACACACACACACACACACACACAGAGTCAATTATACATTAATTTTAGATACATTCCCCTGACGTGATGCTTTCAAATGTCCGTTCGCTTTAAGGAGCGCGAAAAGTCGGTGCGTCTGAAACGAGCCTCCTTATTTCAGCCGAAGACGACAAAACCGCCATTCAGACTCGATTCACGGCCAACGTTTTCACTGATGGCTCCGGTTAATATTTAAAAGCCCCGCATCGTGCCTTCCGCGGTGGACGCCATAAGGTCAAGTCCCTCCGAGTTGAAAAGGTCCCCGCGGAGGTCGCGAAGGGAGCGTGGTGACGGCCGAAGCGGATTGACTCTCTCCCGTTACGCCTGAAGAAGCCATGACGGGGGCCGGGGGGGGGGGGGGATTCCTCTGTGTTAGGTGGGAGTCGCTCGAGTTTAAAAACGGCGAGTTTGCGTGCATCGCTTCGTGTGCGTGTGTTCTTTGTTTGTAATTGCGTGTGTGCGTATTTGTCTTTTTTTTGTAACGTATAGTCGTGTTTGTGTTAATCCTTTTGTGGTACTGGCTTTGTATATGTCTTTGTGTACATGTGTGTTTGTGGATATGTGGTCATGTAAGTACGTTGTGCACGTTTAAGGCGGTTGTGGTTATTACTTTTTTCACATACAGCACAACAGCGTGTATGCACTTGACTTCATAAGCGCGGAATCCATGTAAGTCACTTCATAACTTGCAAACGAGCTGACTTTTGCCTTTTTCCGCGTTGTTCAGCAGCGGACAGTTCGATAACATTGATGAGGAAGGCATAAGTTGGTCGTTAAAGTGGTGATTGTCATGCTGGAAATGTGGGGATGAAAGTATAATGAATAAAGTAATATTTGATGGACATTTGTGCGTTTTTTTTTGTGATTCATGAATTCTTGTGCTTTTCACGATATTTTTTCTTGGACTATTTTTGGTAATCGGCGTTTTTCTCTTTTGAATTATGGCATTTTCTCATCGTTTTATTGTTGTGTTATTGTTCCATTATCATTATTTTGATCATCATTATCTTTCGATGATTTCGTCACGTCTTCCGATTCGTGGCGGGCGTTGACCTTGGCGAGGCCGTCGGTTGCACTGTGTTATGCAATCCTTCTAAGTTTCCCCTTCCCCTATTTCGCTGATTGTATTTTCTCCGATTCTCTTCTCTCTCTTTACTCCTTTTTCTCTTTACT